GATAGATAGATAGATAGATAGATAGATAGATAGATAGATGATTGATAGATAGATAGATGATAGATAGATAGATAGATAGATGATAGATAGATCGATAGATGATTGATAGATAGATAGATAGATGATTGATAGATGATTGATAGATGATAGATTGATAGATAGATAGATAGATAGATAGATAGATAGATAGATAGATAGATAGATAGATATTCAGATATAATTATTCTATTTTGGACCCTTATTAAGGAGGAAACTGTTGGCTTATGCCCTCACAGAATTAAACAGCAGCACCACAGCGACCACCAAGGCCCATGTCCGCCTGTGCAGGAAGCTGTCGCAGGCCTACATCTTATTTCAGCAATTCCTCCTTTCTAGGCCTATGAGGTGTTCCTAATTTGGCTAATTCGGAAATAATATTAATAACAATAATAATAATAGGAACAAGAATAAGGATTCAGTGTTCTTACATAAGATTATACAAAACTGGGGAGCATTGTTGTAGCGTTCCCTGGCCATTGCTGGCTCAGGCCCCTGGGCGTGCCAACCGCCCAACATTTCGGCCTCATTAACAGTAAAATTTAATAAGCGGTCACAATGGCAAGCGGCAGTAGCTCAAGAGCCGTGTCAAATTCTCAAAACAAACTGAAAGCATTCTAAGGGTACCTCTTAAGCAGCAGAAAAAGACGCTAACAAGCGCCATAAGGTACTAGACAAACACACGAAGAAGTTCACGTGGGAGGAGGAAGAAAATTCTCAAACCTCACCTCCTCCAGGCCTACTTCGGCTCCAGTCCCCCTCTGCAACCACCCCTGAATCTGTCTGTGTAATCCAGATGCAGCGCAGCTGCACAAGATCAGGGAGCCCATCTAGATCGGTGCAAGTGACTCGAAGTGACTCTGTGGCCACATTGCTCCAACAGCGGCCAGATTCTGTCAAGAGGATGACTTACCGGAAAAGATCCCCGCAAAGATGTGACTGTGGATGGAATTAGCAATACGCCAATGTATCTCTGCGGGGGTGCGGCATATTGCTCTGAACAACGGAGCGCTCCTTCTGACTGGAATTCCCTATAACTCCGGTCACTAAGCAGGACAGAGCATCCTTACCCTCAGGTCTCTCTCCACGGGAGATTCTGTAGTTTCAGATACACTCCCGCAAGGTAGATAGAAGAAGCGAGGGCTATTGATCGGGTGGAGCCAGAGGACTCTCGAGTTCTCCCGCTCAAATTCTCAAACTCTAGTTAGATTCGCATCGGCTCACATGAAAAGGTGATGGTTGAGGACTCTTGACGACTCTTGACGACTAAAACAACGCTGGCATCATTTGGTTTATAAGAATTCCATGCCATTATCTGTCGAGAAGCCACTTCCCCTCACAAGCATCTCCGTGAGGGTCCAGGGGACATTTTTGCCGATTACGGACCGCTTTCTGAGGTTGACTGGTGGGCTTCCTTTTTCAGTTGGCGGCCCGCACAGAATTCTAGCAGCACAGTAACAGCGAGCACCAAGGGCCGTGTCCGCCTGGGCAGGAAGCTGTTGAGCGCCAGGATCACCCAGTTGCAATACTGGTCCTGAAAGGTGTTCTCTATTTGGCCTCACAATTTGATTCCATATTCAGTCATCTAATGATGAGATTGGTAACAGCACAACCATTCATGTTAGTAGCTGCGCACAGATATAACAAAAATATTATCAATAATAACAATATTAATGATATCAATATTATTATGAATAATAACATAACAAATTGAATTTACCAAAAAACCGGGTGGGGGGGAGGAAGAGCAAATACCAAGAGGATTCCCTGCCTCCGTTTATATCAGTCCTCTGAACCAGTCAACAGTCCATTAATATCTCATACACATCTAGATACATCGATATAGATATCTCGCCTTGTGGGCTTTAGGTCAGAATCTTCAAAGGCAACCAAAAATACCCCCAGAGGACAATAAACCAACTCAAAGTAGGTAAAAACGTCCTAGAGAGACCTCTAAGGCAACAAAGGATGCCAAGAGACACCAAAACGCGTTAGATGAGCATATCTTAAATTAAAAAATAAAATAAAAATAAATTCATGAGGGAGGTTGAACAGAAGTCTCAGTCCTCTTCCTCAGCCAGGCTGGTCCCAGTTCCAGAGCGTTCGCTTCAGCAGCACGTATACTAAAATTGGAACGATACGGAGAAGATTAGCGTGGCCCCTGCGCAAGGATGACACGCAAATTTGTGTTCCATATTTCACCTTGCCTCCATCCCTGGGTCTCTCAACGCCATCCAGGAGAGCCTCAGAGGGACCGGTTCAACCCAGGCCTTCAGCAGTGCTACTTGCCCGACCGACAGTTGTGGGACCACCCCGGAATTCCTCCTCCCAGTGGATATCCCTGACAAATTGAAGGCCTGGAAAGGACATGGCCGCTTGAAGAGGCATCGCAGCCGGAGCACGGTAGAAGTTGATGGCTAGGCAGCCTCCACAACCTGACCTCGATTCTCACTCGATTTAGTTACTATGCAGAACAGACCTTCGTTACCAGCAGGTACCTCCTTCGGGGGAGTATTACATAATCCAGTTACACATTCACACGATGCACAGGATGAGGGAGAACTAGAGACCAGATGGAACAGGTTGAGGAAGGGTCTACTCACAACAGTGACCAAAATCTGTCAAGAGGCGGATCCCCTAAAAAAAGGGGGCATGTCATACATTGAAGGCATTAAGCCAGACCACCAAGCTTCAGGTCTGTTTCGCCCTCAAGACTTTTTTCAAGTCTCTGTTGTTTCAAAAAAAAAACAACCTACTTCCTGCCTTGATATTCCATTTCCCCTCAGCCCAACAATCGTTACTATAAGGGGGGTGTCAGACGATTTAATCTTCTCTCAACCAATAATGTCAGAGGAAGTCATAACTGTCCCACAGAGGTGCTTGGACCTCATCCAGAAACAAGGGGTCTCTTCAGTGGCGTATACCCCTCTGACAGGGTACGATAGCAAATTTTTAATTTGGTTTTCTCATTCTGCTAAACTTCTCGCCGCCACGATAGTAGGTAAAACAATAATGGCAATTCTCCTCCTCCTCGGCAATTCCAACGGAAGCAGAAGAGGCTCTCAAGTCAAAGGATATACAGGGCCGAGTTGTCCCCATGTATGTCGATCCGATGTGAGGGCCATAAGAGCGGAGTCGGCCTCATCCCACACACCCACCCTTTGTTTTTACTAGATTGTCCGCCATCTGAGGGAGATTATCTCAAATTCCAATATCAGGGCACACAAGGACGCCGCGAAACTCTATTAAATTATCTGCTCAAGCCAGGGCATCTCGAGTTACTCCTCGCCTACTCAGACATTGGCAGGCAGATACCACACAACCAATGGAAGCTTGTTTCCTCCCCAATATAGGGAGATAATTTGGTCGGTGGTGCCCCTGACCTACCCCTGATAGAGACTAGGAGCAGAAAATAAGTTCCTCTCTTTTCATAGACCCCCAAATAGTCCTTCCCGGCTTTCTGAAGGGATCCTTCGTTCTTTCTACCAGGGACTTTTTCCTCTCCAGACTCCAGGGACCGTCTGGACGCATGAATCACCAACAGTCAGATAGTTTCTGATCCGGAGATAGATACTGAAGGGGAGGGCAGAGCCAAAGAATCTCTCGAGGAACATGAAATAGGCACAACATAGGCCTCACGACGGTGGCCCTATTGGTGGAAGGCTCAAGCCTTTGACGGACAGACGGGATGCCTCCACCTCTCTTTCCTGGGTTAGAGGTATCAGAAGATTCGGCCTGGCTACAGAATTTCTATCCTCTCCCCGGAACCTTTGCATTACTTGCCTTCTCTCCGGGGATCCTGTTAAAGGGAGCACGATGGAGACAGCTATTGTTAGTTTATTGCAGATCCAGGCAACCGACCTGTGCCACCAGATCAGCAGGGGCAATTTTAGTTTTAAAACGACTTTAATCGATCCCTAGTTCACAGGAGGCTTAAGATGAGCATACTGAACTCTGAGCTTCAGAAGGGGCGATTTTCTACCCTCCGTTGACTTAATGGAGGCTCATCCCCACACTCCAGTTAGATCCTCACATAGCAAACCTCTTAGTTTCTGTTGTAATACTCAACGCTTTGAATGCATTGCGCTGTCCTTTGGGTTGTCATCTGCCCAAGGTTCTTAGGAAGGTTCTGATGGCTCTGGCTGTCCATCTCAGGGGAACACCTGTTAGACGGCAGTCTTACTTATATGACGTTTCATTATTATCTTGTTCATATCAACAGGCAAAGGGGAGGCCTTAGCATCGGTTATCACTAGGAGAGACTTGCAATCCACCTGTCATCACTCACACAAATGCCATTTTCTTGCACGGGACTACAATCTTACATCTTCTTGTAGTGCATTGATATCACACATGGGACGTCAACAAGGTCCTTACCGCACTCAAGAAAACTCCCTTTGAGCCCATGTAGACCATGCGTCTCCGTTCCTAACGTACAAGGTAGTTCCCTTGGTTGCCATGACATCGGCCAGTTACATCTTGGATCTAGTAGCCTTGTCAGTTAGACAGGAGCTCTGTATTTTTTCACACAAAGTGGTCCTTAGTCCAGATCCATCTTTCATCCATAGATAAATTTTGGGTTTCCACAGACCATGGGAACTGATACTCCCGTACATTTGTCTGAAACCGGCATAAAACCTGGCACGACAATGCCAACAATCTAGATGTAAGGTGAGCTTTCTGCATATATTTCAACCGCACCGATGTGCGTTAGGAAACGAAGGTTCTCTTCGTTTCTTTTCAACCACCCACCGTTGGGTGCAAGACCCCTTCCTCAATGACCAGGAAGTGGCTGAGAGCACAATTCCCAAGTCCTATGAGACAACAATCTCTTCCTGTACCCAGGGGCATCACTGCTCATTCGACCTGGAGCGCCGCGATGTTGACAACACGGGCCACAAGCGCCAATACCGAAAATTTACAAGGCGACAACATGGGCCTCACCATCGCCTTTTATTTAGAAACCGTTAGAATGAAGTCTTCGCTTCTACGGGGGCTGCCTTTGACAGGAAAGTGTTAAAAAGGGCGCATAGGGACCAAGAAAAACGGGAATCGGAACCAGACGGAAGCCCTCCCGTAGGACACGGCCAAGCTTTGGCGTGTCCCAAACAGTGGATGCTCTGAACAGCTCATCTGGAGAAGGGGCGTTGGGACTTACCGGACGCGCCTTTTCTCTGTGAGCCGTGAAGAGCATCCATCCCCACCCGTATTCGTTTGGTGGGATGCTATTCCGGCCAAGTATTAGAAAGGGCAAAGGAGAAGAAATATTTAATCACTTCGACTTCGCCAAAACTGGGGACGCTGGGGAGGAGTCCCGTGGAGGAGGAGGAGGAGGAGGGTCCTCCCAATTAAAGCCCAGCCTATCAAACGAGCGACAGAAGACGCATCATCCCCCCCCGCCAAACAATGGATGCTCTGAACAACTCACAAAGAAAAGGGCGCGTCAGGTAAGTACCAACGCCCCTCCTGTGGCCAAGCAAGAAAGCGCTGTCAGTTTTGGGATTTTTCTTGCCACGGTTGTTAAGCGAATCGCTGCCCTTGTTAAGCGAACCTGGCATCCCCCGGTTGACTTTTTCTCATCGGAAGGGTCGCAAAAGGGTGTGTTTGTGTGTGTGTGGAAATCACACGATTCCGGGATGCCGCAACGGTCATCAGGATGAATCAAAGCTGGCGAGAGTCTGAATTTGGATCGCGTGATTATGGGGATGCTTCAATGGTCGTACGTGTGGAAAAACAGTCAAAGCAGGGGGTGGCATTCTACTGGTTCGGACCGGCTCTATATAACCGGTTGTTACGATTCTGTGCAGTTCTGGAGAACCAGCAAATTGTGGTCCTGGCTGGTCCCTCCCCTCCCTGCCCAGCCGTCCTCTCCCCCGCCCAATCAGTCCTTATCGTGCCTGCGCAACATCGCTGACTGCGTTCTCCCCGCCCAGTCATTGCTTAAGATATTTTTTTCCCCTCCCGACAATCAGCTGTTCTGATGATCAGCCCTGCCAGGATCCCCCTCGCTGTCTTACTCCTTCGCCCAGGAAGCTTCCCTGGGCCCCAAGGAAACCTTCTGAGAGCAAAAATGCCCCCCTGGAGGCTTCCCTAAGGCTCAGAAGGCCCCAAAACATTGGGGTGAGGGGTTGGCTGCAAACCCACCCCCCAAAACCCACGGCTACCCAGTCACATGGTCACTCTCACCTAAGCACGCCCACCTAGCCATGCCCACAGAACCGTTTGTTAAAAAAAAATTTTCGAATCCCACCCCTGGGTCAAAGTCACTTTTTTCAGTGACTTTTCAATTGCAAGAGCGATGTAACCGTTTGGTCGCGAAATCAACCGTTGTAAGTCAAGGATGACCTGTACTCTTATAAGTTGAAACGATTAAGTGGAGGACTAATCTGTAAATGGAATAAGCATTTTCTAACCTAAACCAGTCCCAAAGGTGTTTTTTTTTTTTTTTTCCAAAAGGCAATTGGACTTTTCTGGTGGTGGTTTGTCCTTGGAAGATATTTTGCTTCTCATCCAAGAAGCTTTTTCAGCTCTGATAGGCTGGTTGGGAGAGGAAGGATTTACGCTCCTTGCAGACAGCTGGTCATTTGCGTCCTTTTTAGAGAGTCCTTGAGGCCACCTGGAGGTTTATCCATGTCCTCCGGGTCTCCTGAGTAGTGCAGATCGGTGTGGAGCTTTCTTGGAATTATTGAGAGGTCTGCGTTACAGTAGGCCTCATACCCATTTTGCACACTCAGGTGACCCTGAGGACACGGATAAACCTCCAAGTGGCCTCAACAGCTCTCTAAAAGGATGCAAAGGACCAGCTGTCTGCAAAGAACATAAATCCTTCCCTTGCCTGCTATGCTCAGAGTCCAATAGCAATTAGACTTGTATATGCCATCTTACAATGCTTTTACAGCCCTCTCTAAGTGGTTTACAGAGCCAGCCTATTGCCCCCCCCTTCCCCCCAACAATTTTGGGTCCTCATTTTACCCACCTTGGAAGGATGGAAGGCTGCGTCCACCTTGAGCCTCGTGGGATTTGAACTGCCAAATTGCAGGCGCCGACAAGTCAGCAGAAGTAGGCCTGCAATATTGCACTCTTAACCACTGCGCCACCGAAGCTCATGAGAAGCGAAACTTCTTCAAAGGAAAAAAAAGCACAATCAGCGAAAAGTTTGGAAATGTCACCAGACTCCTGGAACATACTACCATATGTGGTGGATATGTACAGAAGCTAAAAGATATTGGACTAAAATAAACACACGGTTGGAAAAGATGATAAAACAAACACACAGATTTAAAAACCAGAGATATCATTATTGGGGATTTTACCCGAAAACTATAGTAAAGAAAAAAACATACTTCATCATACATATATTAACAGCAGCTAGAATTGTATTTACTGAAAACTGGAAAAAATGAAAAGATTCCGATAGAGGAAGAGGTGATTATGAAAATATTGGAAAGTGCAGAAATGAGTAGATTAACATTGGCAATTAAAGAACAAGAAGGAGCGGACTATTATATGAGATTTATTTTAAAAATGGTTGGAAAATAAAGTAAGAAGTTGAATGATATTCCGAATGTAATCCTAGTAAATGTATACATAATATAAATACTTGTACAAGTAAAACAATCTGGATAGGTATATTCAATTTGTTGAATACTTGCAAATATAACTATCAATATAGAAGTTATGATAAAAGAAATGATGTTAAGAGTATAGAGATTGATATATAAAATAGGGTATGAGAATATGAAATCATTAAAACAATAATATGTATTAATATCAAATGATGTAAGAAAAGAATAGCCAAGTGGAATTATTGTCGTGTTTGTTTCAAAATGGAGCTGCACCGTTCACACAACGATGTGTTTATAAAAATAAAACAATAAAAAAAAATTGTAAAAAATAAAGACTTTGCGCACAAGATATATGTACCCAGTCCACACACCCTGTGTAACCGAAAGATGGATTTATTTTAAAATAAAATTTTTAATAAAGTTAAATAAATAAATATTTAAACAAATTTAAATAAATCAGTCCCTGTAAATAAAAATTTAAATAAATAAACGTAAGTAAATTTAAATGAGGTTGGGAAACCCTTTTCTAAAGCCGGGGATGTTGGAGAAGACTTCTGCTTGGTGAAGGCCACCAGAAGGAAGGCCAGATGTCCGTGGAGATCCCTCCAGAGAAGGCGGACCAGGGCTCTGGTCTCAGTCTGTTTGGTCCTGCCTTGAGATGCCTCCCTCTGCCCTTAACGGCCATTCCTGTCCTTCCTTTCCTTCACAGGAGTTTGCGGTCCCGGATTTCCGCACGTCCCACTTGGAAGTCGGCCAGGGTAGCCAACTTCTACAGCAGCAGCAGCAGCAGCTCCGCCGTCGGCCCTCTTTGCTTTCTGAATTTCATCCTGGCTCAGACCGGTAAGCTTTGGTGTTTTCTCTGCGGCTGTTGGTGTTATTATTATTATTATTTTAGCGGAGCTCCGAGCCTGTCCTTGTTTCAGGCGGGGTGAGGTGTGATTCAAGAGGGCGGTGTTAGCATTGCGGGGCGGGTTTATCCTTGGGCAAGCCCATCTTATTAGAGGCAGCTTTTTGTGGGGTCCTGGATGCTTCCCTGAGCTTGGTAGTTTTGTGACCCAACTAGGTAACGTCGGTGCTAGAAGGGAGGAGTGGTTTGCGAGGAGAAAGGGAAGAGGGGGAGTAGGAGGAGAGGGGAGAGGACTATGGGGTCCCTGGTGCTCTCTGAGTTCGGTGGTTTTCCTGCAGCGGTTTCGTTATCCAACTAGGTGACATCGTCAGGTCTAGAAGGCAACGGGTGTGAGGAGGAGGAGGAGGAGTGTGGGCCCCTGGGGGTCTCAGTTGGTGGTTTTCCTGCAGCTCTTTCATGACCCAACTAGGTAACTTCATCAGGGCTAGAATGGAGTGCAGTTTGCTCTCTGTTTATATATACATATATATAGGCTACAATAAACGACAACCCCATTTCCAAGGATAAAAATAACATCTTCATGAACATGACAGGACAAGCCATGGTAAGTAAATCCCTTCTTACACGGATTATGCTACTTAGTTTATTGATTAAATTAATTGTCTGCAAGAAAACCACCACGTTCTGAGAGCAACAAGGGCCTCAAAGTCCTTTTCCTCCTCTTCCTCTTCTTCCTCCTCCCCTTCCTCCTCCTCCTCCTCTCCATAAACCCCACTCCCTTCTAGCATTGATGATGTTCCCTAGCTGGATAAAGAAAAGTCTGCAAGGAAACCACCCGGCTCAGAGAGAACCAAGACAGCCCTCCCTCCTCCTCCTCCTCCTGCTCCTCCTCTAGCACTGATGATGTTCCCTAGTTGGGTCGTGAAAAGTTTGCAAGAAAACCCCCAAACTCAGAGCACCAAGGACCCTAAAGTTCTCCTCCTCCTCCTCCTCCTCCTCCTCCTCCTCCTCCTCCTCCTGGCGTTAATGATGTCACCTACTTCAATCTGCAAGAAAATGTCTAAGTTCAGGGACCCTACAGTTGTCATCCTCCTCCTCCTGCTGCTGTTGTTCCTCTCCTCTCCTCCTTTCCATAAACCCCCTTCTCTTGTAACATTGATGATGTTACATAGTTGGGTAAAGAAACGTTTGCAAGGAAACTAAGTTCAGAGAGAACCAAATCGCACTCTTTTCCTCCCCCCCTCCCCCTCCTCCTCCTCCTCCTCCTCCTCCTCCTCCCTGCAAGCCTCCTTCCCTTCTAACACTGATGATGTTACCTAGTTGGGTAAAGAAACCACCAAGTTCCGAGAGCGTCAAGGACTACCACAGTTGTCCTCCTCCTGTCCCTCCTATTTCTTCACTTCTCTTCCTAAACCCCCTTCCCTTCTAGCATTGATGATGTTGGGTAATAAACATCATCTAGAAAACAACCAAGCTCATAGAGCCCCCAAGACCCCACGATTCAACCCTGAGCTATAAATATTCTCTTCTATCCATTACAATTTTTTTTTTTGGTTTGTTCGTTTAAATTTTTCTTGGGTGGTTTAGGGAGACCTCGGATCGGGGCAGCTCTGGCTGTTTGGTTTTTTTCCCTCTCCCCAGCTCCGAGCTTCTTCCTCACTCTCCCCTCTTCGCCTTCCTCTTCTTCCTCCAGGCCTCAGGAGAGGAGATCGGGCTACGAGTCCCAGTTCCACGCTGGCCCTTCCCAAGCCGACCACGATGCGCTGGACTCCAAGCGGCCACGCCTGGACCAGGTTTCGGACTCTCATTACCAGCGGGTCAGTGCCACTGCGGTCCTGCCCTTGGCCCACCAGCTCCAGGAAGGGCTGCGCTCATCGGACCTGAAGAAGGTAAAGCCAGTGGGGCTTACTGGTGGGGCAGAGACTTTTCGGGTAGCCAATCAAGGGGTAATACACAGGGGTGGGATTCTACCAGTTCGCACCTATTCGGTAGAACCGGTTGTTAACATTCTAAGCAGTTGGGAGAACCGGTTGTTAGAAGAAATTACTGGACTAATCCTGTAAGGAAGGCAGGAAGGAAACATTCTGGTGTTACTCACAGAAACTGCCTCTCCGTTAACCCTTATTACATTCTTGGCAGGACTAGACTTCCTGTCTCTGGAACTTCTCTGGAGTTTTTTCCCCCCTCCTTTGCTGGTACTTTGCTTGTGTGGAGTGACCATTCAAAGTTACAGTGGCACTGAAAAAAGCGACTTATGACCCTTTTTCACACTTACGACTGTCGCAGCATCCCCACAGTCATGAGAGGCGAGGCGAGGAGATGCGTGTCTCGATGTGAGTGATACTGAGTTGGCCACACCCATCCAATAACATGACCACCAAGCCATATCCACCCGTCACATGACCGCCAAGCCACGCCCACCAACTAAGCCATGCCCATAGAACCGGTTGTGAAAAAATTTGAATCCCACTCCTGGTAATATTGGTAGTCCTCGACTTACGACCGTAATTGGGACCATCGTGCAGCGAGGCAGTTGTTAAGTGAGTTTTGCCCCCTTTTTACAACCTGTCTGGCCACGGTGGTTAAGTGAATCGCTGCAGCTGTTAAATTAGCCACACAGCCATTAAGCGAATCGGGCTTCCCAGTCTACTTTGGTTATCATGTCACAGTGGGATATACGGCTTGCTGGAAGCTAATAAAAACTATTTATGCTCAAGTTTTTTTTCAGGCGCATCGACTGGGTGTGATTAAAAAGAAATAACAACCCCTTGGTGGTGTGAACTGAGCTCTGTCTGTTTTTCTCATACGCGTGTATGGCTAGTCTAGAGCAGGGGTCTCCAACCCTGCTAACTTGAAGTCTTGTGGACTTCAACTCCCAGAATTCCTCACCCAGCGAAGCTGGCGAGGAATTCTGGGAGTTGAAGTCCACAAATCTTAAAGTTGCTAAAGTTGGAAACCCCTGGTCTAGAGAACGGAAGGACTAGGAATAGAAGAGAAGAGAATGTAGAAGAGAATAGAACAGAATGTAGAATAAAAGAGAAGAGAATGTAGAAGAGAATGTAGAAGAGAAGAGAATATAGAAGAGAAGAGAATGTAGAAGAGAAGAGAAGAGAAGAGAAGAGAATGTAGAATAGAAGAGAATATAGAAGAGAAGAGAAGAGAATAGAATAGAATGTAGAAGAGAAGAGAAGAGAATGTAGAATAAAAGAGAAGAGAATGTAGAATAGAAGAGAATATAGAAGAGAAGAGAATAGAATGTAGAAGAGAATAGAAGAGAATGTAGAAGAGAAGAGAATGTAGAAGAGAATAGAAGAGAATAGAATAGAATGTAGAAGAGAAGAGAATTTAGAATAGAATAGAAGAATAGAATAGAAACTAATAGAAGAGAATGTAGAAGAGAAGAGAATGTAGAAGCGAATAGAATAGAATAGAATGTAGGAGGAAGAGAAGAGAATGTAGAAGAGAAGAGAAGAGAAGAGAATGTAGAAAAGAGAATGTAGAAGAGAATAGAATAGAATATAGAATAGAAGCGAATAGAATAGAATAGAATAGAATAGAATAGAATAGAATAGAATAGAATAGAATAGAATGTAGGAGGAAGAGAGGAGAATGTAGAATAGAAGAGAATAGAATAGAATGTAGAAGAGAAAAGTATGTAGAATAGAATATAGAAGAGAAGAGAATGTAGAATAGAATAGAATTCTTTATTGGCCAAGGGTGATTGGACACAGATGGAATTTGTCTTTGTGCAAATGCTCTCAGTGTCCATAAAAGAAAAGATACATTCATCAAGGGTCAAGAATTATCAGGTACAATAATAGTCATAGGGTACAATAGAATAGAAGGATATAGGAATTGAATTTAAATAGGATGGGATGGTGTAGAGTTGTAATTGCAGGAATGTTCCTATCTCGGATGGCAAACCTCAGATAAAGAATGTTTCCAAGCAAATACAACTCAGGTAAACAAAGTCACAAATCTAAAGGAGGATTAGAGAGAGGAAGTCAACATAGGTTAGACTTTAACTAGAGATAATTAATTGTATGGATTACTGTGCTAAACAGTAACGAAAGTTAAGCAGTAACCAAAGTTAACCAGTGATGGAAGACAACTAAAAATGTGTATAAATGCAAGACTAGGCTCCAATAAAGATCATCATGATTCAGTTGTTCATGATCAAACAACTCGACTGCCTCGTCATTACAACAAGTGGTGCCTCTTACTTCGTCCGGCAAGGATTTGGTGCACCTTCAACCCTTTGTGGTTTCTTCAACCTTTTGGTTTCTGTAAGTACGGGGTCTTCGCTTTCGGAGGAACAAAGGAAGCATGTAAATGAATTAAGCTATTTGTTGAAGAAAAATAATACCCGAGGTACCACAGAGAAATCTCTTAAGGCTGGTCCAGGAGATTGCAGCTCAGTGCCTTATGGTACCCAGAAAAGGGGTCTTTAAAATTAATTGATTGGAAACATTCTTTATCTGAGGTTTGCCATCCGAGATTGGCACATTCTTGCAATTACAACTCTACAGGATGGGAAGGGATGGAACGGGATATAGAATAGAATAGAAATTACAATAGTAGAATAGAATAGAAATTAGAGTAGAATGGAAATTAGAATAGAATAGAAATAGAATAGAATAGAGTAGAATTCAAGTGTGATTGAACACACAGGGGATTTGTCTTTGGTGCATAAGCTCTCCAGCGTACATAAAAGAAAAGATAAATTTGTAAAGAGTCAAAAGATACAACACTTAGTAAGAATCATAGGGTACAATAAGCAATCAAATCAAACTAGGAAACAGTCAATATAAATTGTAAGGATACAAGCGACAAAGTTCCAGTCATACAGTCACAAGTGGGAGGGAATGGGTGATAAGGAGTGATGAGAAGATTAACAGTAATAATAGTGCAGACTTTGTAAATAGTTGGACAGTGTTGAGGGAAATATTTGTTTAGCAGAAAGATGGCATTTGGGGGAAGAAAACTCCCCTTGTGTCTAGTTGTTCTGGGGTGCGGTGCTCTATAGCGTCGTTTTGAGGGTGGGAGTTGAAACAGTTTATATCCAGGATATGTGAGGGGTGTATAGATATTTCCACAGCCCTCTTTTTGACTCGTGCAGTATGCAAGTCCTCCATGGAAGGCAGGTTGGTACTAATTGTTTTTTTCTGCAGTCCTAATTCCTCTCTGGAGTCTGTGTCTGTCCTGTTGAGTTGCAGAACCGAACCAGACAGTTCTAGAGGTGCAGGTGACAGACTCCATCCTTCCTCTGTAGAACTGGATCAGCAGCTCCGTTTGGGCAGTTTGAGCTTTCTGAGTTGGCGCAGGAAGAACCTTCTTTGTGGTGCTTTTCTGACGACGCTTTTGATGTTAGAGGGAGACATGATAGCAGTATTCCGATATTTGACGGGCTGCCCCAAAGAAGAGACAGGTCAAACTTACTTTCTGAAGCACCCGAAGGCAGGACGGGAAGGGATGGATGATGCAGACGATACAGATAGAAACGAATCAAGGAGAGAAGCGACCCGGAATTAAGGAGAAACATCCTAACAGTGAGGAGACTTAACCAGGGGAACAGCTGGCCACCAGAAGGGATGGGTGCTCCGTCGCTGGAGGTTTTGAAGAAGAGACTGGACAGTCCCTTGTGTCAAATTGTACAGG